TGTCCTTCGGAAGCATCTTCTTTTGGATTTTTAGTAACTCTCCAAATCCCTTGTCAGATACACCATTCTTTGCCTTCCATTGCAGCAATTCTAGTGTGGTTCCTAACTTTTTCTACCCTGCATCACAAGTTGGGTACAACAATTTCTTGTGATCTTCTAGCATCCGCTCGAACTTGATCTTCTCCTTTTTACTTTCACATTCTCTTTGTGCGTCATGAATGACCTGAGAAAGATCATCAGCCGGCTCATCTTCTGCGGCTACCTCTTCTTCAGCTTCTCCCATTGCAGTATCATTGAAGCACGCACCATCGGGAATAATATCATTGTCGTCCCATTGTTCTTCTTCACCTTCTTCCATTACAACACCGGTTTCTCCGTGCTTCGTCCAACAAATATAGTTTGGCATGAAACCCGACTTGAACAAGTGTGAATGAAGAGTCCTTGAGCAAGGATATTCCACCGTATTCTTACATATGGCACATGGGCAGCACATGAAACCGTCGCGTTTGTTTGCCTCGGCCGCACGTAACAAAGAATGCACGACGTCAATGAACTCTTAGGAGCGGCAATCAGCATTGTACATCCAATGCCGGCTCATCTGCATTACATGACATAAATACCATATTAAAACCTAGATCATAATTAATTATTTATACAACATGCGTGCCACCACAAAAGATACAAATTTATGAAAGCATCACTACAATGTAGACAATTCCAACTACCACTAAAAGAACTAAAGCTAAAATACATTTCAGGAGCACAAGGATTTCGCGACCAATCTCAACTAAAACAGACAGATCCCCCGATTATGCAATATCTTTGGGCTTCTTCGGCTGGATCACTGCCTCATTAGCCGCCGTATCTGCCTGTTGTGCAAGATATTTTTGCACGAGTTCAACATACTCTTCCTCCCAAAGAGAAGCCTAAACATCGCCCACCGCCATCCCACCAAAATTAAAACAAAAAATTAGAACTTTAATCACAACCATCATGAAAATAGGTATAAACTAACCATAATCATTAAATACGATAAAATAACTCACATTGCGATCCGGACACTTGTAGAAGATACGATCCTTGTTGGGACCCTCCTCCTTCACTCGGTACTCCATCACAATCTTCGTCTCATCACGACACTTGCCGCATGGAATGAGAGGGAGGCCCGCCTAAGTCGCTTTGGAAACCCATGAGAGGCCGAGGACCCGAGGCAGCCAAGCCATCTACTCTCTATACTCATTTTTAATACACTATAAATTTCTCATTTTATAAGCAAATAAAATTAAGAAACTATAAAATTATCTATATCTCTAAACAATGAAGCAATTTGCCATCTACTCTCTATACTTTTTTTTAATACACTATAAATTTCTCATTTTATAAACAAATAAAATTAAGAAACTATAAAATTATCTATATCTCTATACTCATTTTTTAATACATTATAGCTCAAAAATATGTTTTAATAAATAACCATCCGTACTAGTTGACCTTGCTTACGTGATCATCTCGGCGAGCATTTCTCCACCGGATGGCACCGTACTTGGTCAAGGAAGAGCTCCGATTCTACGAGGAAGGGAACACGGTCTTCCACGACCGTTGCCGCTCTCCCTTGTAGAATCAAAGCTCATCCTTGACGTCCGTTACCGCTCGGCAGAGAACATGCTCGCCGAGATGAACACTATCCGCAAGTTCAACTAGTACGGATTTTCTATAATTTTCTAACTATTTTCTAAGTTTATATTTATATATATACTATGTTTGGGTATGGTGACTGACAGACTACTGCGACGATATCGGGACATGTGAATAAATAACCATCCGTACTAGTTGAAGTTGCTTACGTGATCATCTCGGCGAGCATTTCTCCACCGGACGGCACCGTACTTGGCCACGGAAGAGCTCCGATTCTACGAGGAAGGGAACACGGTCTTCCATGACCGCTGCCGCTCTCTCGTAGAATCAAAGCTCCTCCTTGACGTCCGCTTACCGCTTCGGCGAGAAACATGTTCGCCGAGATGAACACGGTCCGCAAGTTCAACTAGTACGGATTTTCTATAATTTTCTAACTATTTTCTAAGTTTATATTTATATATACTATGTTTGGGTACGGTGATTGATGACTCATCGCGACGATATCGGGACATGTGAATAAATAACCATCCGTACTAGTTGAAGTTGCTTACGTGATCATCTCGGCGAGCATTTCTCCACCGGACGGCACCGTACTTGGCCACGGAAGAGCTCCGATTCTACGAGGAAGGGAACACGGTCTTCCACGACCGTTGCCGCTCTCCCTCATAGAATCAAAGCTCCTCCTTGACGTCTGTTACCGCTTGACAGAGAACATGGTCGCCGAGATGAACACGGTCCGTAAGTTCAACTAGCTACTTTAACCTTCTTTCATGTAAATATGCAAGCTTGAAGTGATTTTGAGCTCAAATTGCTTACAAATGAAAAAAACCACAATAAAGAACCATATATATATAGTGAACAAAATGACATAAGACAATGGTGAAAAATGAGAGTATGAGATTGATAACCTCTACAACTGAAGAATCGACGGAGGAATCGAAGAAATCGATGGAGGAATCGAAGAATGGATGGAGGAACAATAGAATGGAGGGAGGGAGGAAGCAAGAACACTAGTGCAGTGAGCTTCAAAATGTGCTGAGTTCGGGCTCGGGGAGGAAGAAAGAGACGGCCGATATATAAAGGGGGACCTTTAGTCCCGGTTGGTGGCTCCAACCGGGACTAAAGGTAACTTTCCAACCCCGGGCGCAGCCACGGCCCGGGAGTAGACCTTTACTCCCGGTTGGATCCACCAACCGGGAGTAAAAGTATACCTTTAATCCTGGTTGGTGACTTCAACCGGGACTAAAGGTCCCTGCCACCTCTGCCTAGCGCAGTAGCCGTTGGATAGGGACCTTTAGTCCCAGTTGGAGCCACCAACCGGGACTTAAGGTATCTCTAGTCCCGGGCGCAAAAAATGCCGGGACTAGAGCCCATTTTGACCGAGGATTAAAGGTCTGTTCTCTACTAGTGGGCCCAGTTCATTAATCCGGGACTAAAGGGTGGGCCTTTAGCCCCGAAATTGTATTCCGATTGGGAAACAGGGACTGAAACGATTTCCCAACTGGACCCTAGCCCCTTTCTGCGCTAGTGATAGCAGGGTGCTTCCGATCCCGGAATTAAGTGATTGGACACATTTTAGGCAATCTCACATTCGTGGAGTGCAGTTGGGTACGCCGGTTCAGTTGAATCGATCCTTGATGATCCTCCTAGTTGCCTAAGAACTTTGGAAAGAGATAAATGCAAAAGGATCTTGCAACTACGTCGATATTTGAGCCGGGATCCAGATCAAGGAAGAGGTGAGAACATAGCATGGTGTTATTTCCGGTGCTGCGTGGTGCCGTTTTGCTTGTTTAGTTTTACCTGTTGGTATATTTGCGGATATACATTTTTATTAATAACCTTACTACATGCAAGCAGGCAGAGTTTGTACCAGGCCGATTAAAATAATTGCAGTCCATGAGTTCTTCAAAAGCTTTGAGATGGTAGAACTTTACAGGGGAGTATGAACGTACGTTATTTCTTTTTCTAAACAAATCACAACCATGAGAGGCATGTAGCTAGCTAGCTAGCTAGCCAACGCAAGCAAGCATTGGAGGAAGAAGCAAACTAAAGCATAGAGAGGAGACACAGGCGAAGCACACAGTGAAAAGCTATCTCGAACAAAGCATAAAGATGGCACACACGCGATGCTAGCCGTCTCATGCAAAAAAGACGAGCGTGCATACATGCTGCCTGCCGGTCGCGAAAAGGAGCTCTGAGCGAGCACCGACTAACCATCGAGGACGGACGAGAGAGCGCGAATTGAATACCACTTGCAATTATATATATATATATATATATATATATATATATATATATATATATATATATATATATATATATATAATCCTGTCAATATTTCTTTCTTTCGTTTCTTGGACATCGTTTTAAACAGAAATTAAATCTAGTCGATCTCTTAATATTATTAGCTACGCCATCCACCTGTTTATGTGAAGAGAATATATATATATATATATATATATATATATATATATATATACCACCTTTTCTAAATTACGCCATAGAATAATTTATTCTATGTACCTTGATTTACGTATTTACGATAATGACAATACACATTTACGATATATGGGTTACTATAATTCAAGATGATACTTACCATAATGTTATAGTAACGTAAATTGGCTACAGAACAGTACGTGTGTGTATATATATATATATATATATATATATATATATATATATATATATATATATATATATATATATATATATATATATATATATATATATAACAGCGTGTGTTCATGTGCTCTCTGCCTGTTCATCGAAGTAGATGGGGTAGATGGGTATGTAAGGTTGTTGATCGATATTAGCACTTTTCACATTTTAGATTAGAATATACATAAACGTAACGAGTGATCGAGAGTGCTCATGCATGTCAAGTGGCAATTAATATAAAAATTCGGATTTCTTGGCACACAAAACTCGTTTGTCCAGATGCATGCGCATGCATGGCTCTGATGAAAACACAATGCAAGACAAGGGAACGGCAAACCAAACTGATTAATAAGATGCATATGGACGAAGAGAACAACACTAAATCGATCGATCTCTTCTAGCACCGACCAAACGTAGCTAGCAGTAGCAGTGCACACACACTTGTACGCGCGAGCATGCAAGCACGGTCTAACTAGCTCCCACACACAAGACGGAGGCAGCATCAGTAAAAAATCACCGACCTCTCTCTCTCTCTCTCTCTCTCACTCACTCACTCACTAACACACAGACACACAAGCACGACGCACTCTATGATTAATAACTCACTACTGTGGGTGTATTAATAAGTAACCTGCATTCCCTACTATCAGTCCCTCCCAACAGCAACGCCAGCAATGGCTAGTAGTAGCCGGTGCTGATCGAATTCACAGCCAGAGCGCGCCGGCCTCCTTGAGCAGCGGCACGAGGGAGCCGTTGATGTGCGCGGCCATGACGCGGTCCATGGCGCCGACCAGCCTGCCGCCGATGAACACGACGGGCACGACCGGCGCGCCCGCCGCCGAGGCCCCCGAGGCGCCGAGGAGGCAGGCGAGGGCGCGCTCCAGCTCGCGGCCCCGCGGGTCGAGGTCCAGCTCGTGCACCGTCGGGTGCACGCCCATGCCGCAGAAGAGGCGCTTCACGGCGTGGCACATGCAGCAGGTGCTCACGCTGAAGACCACCACCGCGCTCTCCGACGCCAGCCGCTCCACGCGCTCCGCCGCCGTCTCCACGGCCGACGACGGTGCCACCACCGGCATGTACCACGCCTGATCCGCCGCTGCCGCGCCGTACTGCATTGTCGCGGTCACTACCTAGCTAGGTGCCTATGCTACTGCTGCTGATGATCAAAGGGCTGCAGGTTTAAGCGGTGTGTGAGGTTTGCGAGCCCAAGGGCTAGCTAGTGCGTCGTGTTGCCTTAGGGCTGGCAAGCTAGAGGTGAGACGAGGTGCTCGTATATATAGAGGAGCGGGGTCAGGGCTGGTAGTTTTGTAGGCGCAAGTAGCTTCAAAGCTGGACTTAACTTGTTTTCTTCTTAAATTAATACCAAGGTTTCCAGAGAGGAAAGTTCTTTAGAACTTTTAAAAGATTAAGACAAGGTGACCCTCTTTCACCCCTTCTACTTAATCTGGTGGCAGATGCTATGTCTGCTATGTTGTCTAGAGCAAGCTCTGCTGGAGTTATTCAGGGCCTTGTCCCTCATTTAGTAGAAGGTGGTCTATCCCATTTGCAGTATGCAGATGATACAGTTATTCTTCTTTAGTTTACTCAGGAAAATTTGAGGAACGCTAGGATGATCTTATGATGCTACGAGGCTATGTCTGGAATGAAGATCAACTTTGAGAAAAGTGAAATTTTCACAATTGGGCTCTCTGAAGAGGAACAGTGCTTGGCAGCTAACCTACTTGGGTGTAAGATTGGGTCATTTCCAATGAAGTACCTAGGGATGCCTGTCAGCAATTACATGGTCACTATGGCACAATTGATCAGCTATGTTAGTGAGAAAACAGAGAAGAGATTAGGGACTTGGCAATGTGAATACCTATCTTCTGGGGGGGAAATCAACTCTAATTGATTCTTGTCTGTCAAGTATCCCCATGTACACCATGGGTGTGTACCAACTTTATGAAGGAAATTTTCAGAGACTTGATACAATCAGATCTAGATTCTTTTGGCAAGGAACAAGCAAGAAGAGGAAGTATCACATGATAAATGGGGGAAGCCTTGAACAGGCCTATAGAATTTGGTGGCCTGGGATTTCTAGATGTAAGAGCTATGAACACTTGTCTACTTGCCAAGTGGATTGACAGATTAGAGTCTTTGCTATGAGTTGTTAAGGAAGAAATACCTGGGTCATAATAGTATTTTCCAAATCAAGAACAGGAGAGGATCCCAATTCTGGAGGTCTCTGTTAGATGTGAGGGATGGTATCAAAGAGGATGTGTGATCAATATTAGAGCTGGGCTACAAATAAGATTTTGGCATGATTGTTGGTTGGGCAACTGCCCCTTGAAGTGAGTTTTCCTAATCTCTTTGAGATCACCTCTCAACCTGACCTAGATGTAGCTCATGCAATAGCAGATGGACAGTGGAACATAGATTTCAGAAGAGAACTAAATGTGAACTTATTGGAAGAGTGGGAGCAACTGGGGGGACTGTTGAGTGATGTATACCTTTCTGAAGGCAGAGATGAGGTTAGCTTGAGCTTGGAGAGATCTCATAAGTACACCACAAGATCCCTGTATAGGCTTATGACATCTGGAGGTGTGGTTGACTACCAAATGATGGTAATCTGGAAAAGTAATATCCCATTAAAGGTCAAGATCTTTATGTGGATGGCTACACATGATAGAATTCAATGCGGTGTTCAGTTAAAAAAGAAGCAATGGTCAGGGCCTAAAGAGTGTTTTGCAAGTGGCAATTTAGAGACCTCTGATCATATTCTTTTCCAATGCCTGATTGTTGTATTTCTTTGGTCCTTCTTGTGAGATTGCCTGGGTTGGGTTTCATCACCAACCAGCTGTGCATCTTTCTTTCTAGAGGTCGTGGAGAAATGTAGAGGTAAGAGACAGAAGATAACATTGTTTTTCATTTGTGCAGGTGCGATGTGGACTATCTGGAAAACTCAGAATGACGTGGTGTTCATCAAGAAGGTTCTGCACTCGCCCGTGGCAATCATATACAAGACCCTGACATTGGTGAAGGCTTGGCGCCCCTTACTAAAACCAAAACTAAAGCCCATGGCGGAAGAGATGATTAACTTGGTGTCTGCTAATGCTGCGTCGATGTAATAGTTGTTGCGAATAGTGCCCTTTTATTTCTATCTAGCTTATACAGTTGAGGTTGAGTTAGCCTATGTTACTTTAGAGTTGGGTGGAATTGTGTGGAGGTGGAGTTTACCATTTGCAGTATTTTGAACTCTATTGTAAAGCTGGTATCCCTAGCAATCGGATCGTTGGCTTTCATTAAGCTTTCAATAAAGTCCGGTGATAGCCTTTGATCTAAAAATTAATATTTAATACCCATGTCGGCCCTCCGCCGGTATGGAGCATGAGTAGGTTAACTTGAGTTCTCTGATTCTCTCCTTTAGTATATAGAGTAGGAGTACTTGTTTAATTAAGAGTCCTTTTCTAGTAAACTATAGTACATTGGCACGGTCTCCAATCATATTAAAACTTTGCCCATTACTGCTTTTAGTACTCTCTCCACTTTGATATATGTATGAACTATCGGGCTAACCATGTGTGTTGCAACGGAACATAAATCATGTTGCGTGGTCACTGAATGACTTATAACTCGAAGATTTATGTACGGTCATATCATCTGCTCAAATATATATTGAAATCGAACTTCGTATTAGATGCACAAACATATGTTGTTCTAGCTTATATGAGCACGAGTAATGAGTCCAGGTCAAATATGAATCAGGAGAAAAGTGAGGGAACTTTCAAAAGTAAAAAAAGACAGATAGAAAAATCATTTCGCTCTTTAATATATATATATATATATATATATATATATATATATTCATATAATACTTTCTTTTTGGTTTCACTATAACATGTTTTGAGCAGCAGCTTCCTTATCAATATATAAATTTTGTAATGAAAATTAATGTCATTAGATTCGTATAGAAAAGTACCTTACTTATGATTTTTGTCAAATAAAATGACATATTAGAAAAGTAATTGTAGATCAAACTATTAATGAAATGGAATATGCCTGCTAATTTCTAATGGATGGAGTATATGATAACAAAATGTTACAATAATTTAACAAGAATACTAAGTATGAAAGTATTTTCTATCAAAAATTCAGTTATCCAATTTTCATATGACAAATCTAATATTCTTCTTAAGATGCAGGAGTTAATAGTTAGAGTTTGAGAGCCGGGACCACATACTTTATAGGTTTTCACACATTTATAAGCAAAGGGGTGCATAAAAACGATTGTAGGAGACAACCACTTTGATTTACAGAGGTAATAAAAAAGTGTCATCATAGTCTGCAAAAATGCACCATGATTTTTAGAGACATTTGGTCTATTTATGGATGCATCAAATAAAATATGAGGGCTATTTTTAGAGGCAGACTCATAAGACATGCCTCTATTAATTGAGGCAGCCAACCCATCTCAATCCACTTAGCAAACCGTAGTATATATCTCCACCACCATCAGCCCCTTCGTTCCTCTCCACCATCAGCAACACACCTCTCTCTAGAACTCTCTCTTTGAATCTCACATACCTTCACTAGCTTCTCCACCCTGATGGCAGTGCTTGGGCCTTGCCCTTTTTTTGGCTAGGCTGAGTGGCCCCAATAGCTCTGAAGTGCATGGGCCTCCTATAAGAATCCTATGCCTATGATCATATGTTTTAGTTTTGATGATTGAGATGACACCACAAGCCTAGATTAACATGTGTGTTGAAGTTATGTTAAACATATGATAGGTCATAGAGATGCAAGGACAACGTTTGTTCAAGATCTGAGTTGAAACAGAGAATGATAAAGATTCCTAAACATTCCTCACCAGGGCATTCACCAGATCAGTTGATAAGGCCCACTGGATCATATGGTGCAGCATAGTAAGTCAGCTAGAGGGGACAAAGCCCATCATATGATATAATAATGAACAGAATAATCACTTGGTAGATCATTCAATGCACATCAGTGAGTTGGCACAATTGAAGACCTAGAAGATCAGCGCCATGGGATGAAATGTTGCAATATAGAGCACCCAGCAGACAAATCATTCGGTGTAGATTAGTGTCATTGCAATGGCTAAATCCAACAATTAGATTCCTCGCCTGACGATATAGTGAAAAAGTTTGGACATACCGGAGGATCAACCTGTGAAGAGGGTCCATTGTTAGTGAGTGAAGATTCAATGGTGAACAAGGAATATTGCCCGCTAGATGATATGGTGAAATATCAAGAACTACGTGCCTAGCAGATCATTAGGTGGTGCCCAAAAAGTTTGCAACACTCTTTGAGGGGGGATGAGGCTATATATATGAGATTGTCTCACTTGCTTGAGGGTGTTGGAGTTAACCAAAGCTAAGAAATAGAAAAGGGTTTACACTCCGTAGACCCACATCCAAGGTTAAGATAGACACCATAGTTCGTCCATGTGAGGTTTATCACTTAAAGCTTGAGAACATTGAGATATTGGGTTGTTGTCCCCTTGTATCATCACGAGCTAGAGCGCTTGAGGTCATTGTGACCTTTTGGTGAAGGTGTGGTGGCCTTACAGGTAGTGACCCTCCGTTCTTCGTGTGGAGCGATATTGTATTAGTGTATGGGAAATGAGGAGATCGATCTCCTCCCCCACATGAAGAAGCTTTGTAGTGTGCTCACCAATAAAGTGGCCAGAAGAGCAAGGTGGCAGTGGTGAGACTTCGTGACTCATGGCACTAGCCTTTGGCTGGTGAAAGCCTTGGGAGACAAATCCAACACCGATGGTAGAGACTTCGTGACCAGGAGCACACCTCGGTGGAGCTCCAATGTGTACCAAGGTTTGTGATTTGGCAACTGATACCATGGAATTTGCCCTCTCTTAGGGCGTGTTTGGAGGGGCTCCGGCGGCTCCGGCTCCTTCCACTGTAGCAGTACTGTGGAGGAACCGTCGGAGCCCCAAGCCTCTAGCTCCTCCCCTTTCCCAGTCATTTTTTGCTAGAGCCGGAGCCGACCAGCTCTGCGCTACAGTGCTGCACAGTACGCCTGGGCAGGAGCCAAAGCTGGGCAGAGCTATGACGCCCCCTTACTTGAACTATTTATTTACTACGTTTATTGCTTCTGC